TCCTGGCTTGAGTCTAGAACTCGCATTGAGAGAGATAGGGGACGTCTTAGAAGACCAGTTGACCTCGTAAGGTGCTATATGATCTAGAAAATCCTCTATCGACGATCGGGGTTGTTTGTTGCTATAGAGGTCCGGAGAGCTGCATTGGTTTGAGTTAGGTTTGCTTGTGGACAAGCAAACGGTTAAGTGTGGGGGAGTTTGATAGACCATTGATTAAACATGTTTTTAGCCCTATTCTTGAGCCATTGGAGATATCGATTCCCGCATTTTAGGCCGATTTCACGCTAGGTTGTTCTTGTTTGTGAATTGTGATATTTCAGGTCCTAGTACGTGAATGAAGACTTGGGAACGAGTTCGGGGTCGATTGGACGAGGATTGGACATTTCGCGGGAAGCTGATGGAGCCACACGGGCACGCCTAAAACCTACACGGCCGTGTGGCACCAAATTGCACGGGCGAAGTCACACGGGCCGTGTAAGGGACCCCCTGAGGCCGTGTGGAAATTCCAGGGAACTCGCACAGCCATCCTGGAATTCCACACGGCCGTGTGGGTCGTGGCCGTGTAGGAAGCCTGAGTCACTTATAAAAATGCCGCGGTTTGCAAAACTCACACGGGCAGCTGGGAATGTCACATGGCCATGTGGCCTGGCCGTGTGAGTCGGAATTTTCTGGGTTTTAACCCAATTTTCAGCAAAGGAGAAGGGGTTCCGAGTTTGAGAGAAAGAAAGCGATTCCTACAGAGTGAAAGCGACGAACCAGAGTTCCCAAGTGCCCTAGCTTGATCTTCATCACCATTGAAACTCGGCTCACATTTGGAGAAGTGCCGATTGACGACCAGGAGCAGATTCTCATCCTTCATAGCATGATTTCTGCATCTGAGCTTGCTTTTGCTTATCTCTCTATGGAGTAAATTCCTCATTCATCTGGGTATGGAGAACCCTGTATTTGCATGTTAGGTCTGATTGTATGAACCCAAGTACAGATTCTATGATTTGATTATATTCAATTGAGGTTTGAATTGTTGAATGACATGAATCCTGATCAAATTCCTGTTGTTTCTGCTTTAATCTAGAAAGAGAATATCTGCCTAGGTTGATAGAGCACCCTTAATTGAAGGTAGTGGGTTGACGACTTTAGTCGGGGAGTCAATTCACTATTATGTACCGGATTTACTCCGGTAGTGGAGGTTTGGTTCGTTAGGGCCTCAGTTTGTTTACTCCGGTGGAGGTTAGTCGCCCGCTGGGGACTCAGATTGAGAGGGTCTAGAGACCTTTAGTCGAGACTTAAGACTGCTTAAGAACCTCCCGCGGTATACCTATCATAGAAATTGAACTTGGTAAATTGCAATCCGGCTTAACTGCAGTCTAGGGGGAACCATATCCGGGTGACCTCTCTCGACTTGAAAACAACCGTTTAATTGCTTGCTTGTTTACTTGTTTGGACCTGCATTAAAGTTTCACTGCTAGATAATAAGAACTCACGGAGTAGTCATCACATCTAGGACCCGGTTTGACATTAAAACCCAAACCCGCTATACTACGCTTTAGGAGGTGGTTACACTTGGCCATTTTCTAGAGTGACGGTTAGAGTGAGTCAATATATATTATACATACTAACAAGTATAAATAATTAGTTGATGGTTTTTTTTTTTACGGGTAACTTGTAATAAAATTAATCGGAGGTAAAAGTTACATCATCCAGCCGTACCTGATCAACAAGGAAAATAGGTGGACTATCAAGCCACACTTCTCTGCTATCCCAACTAGTCCCGTTGTGAGCCATGATATGTGCCGAATTATTCGCCGAGCGCCTTACATGTTTTACACTTCTCGGGGACGGGGTCTGCTAAAAGGCGGGAAATCCGCCTGCAGATGACTCCATTCTCGGTCTGCACATTCTGAGCCTACGCTACTTTCTAAACCAACGTTAAGCTATCGACTTCAAGCTGAAAATGATGGAAACCCAGCTAGTGCGCTAATTGAGGGCCGAACTCGGCCACCAGCGCTTCTGCCATTTCCACTTCAAAGGAACCACGAACCTTCTTCGTTGCCGAAACAATAAAACGCCCCTGATGGTCTCGATAAACAGCTCCCAGGCCTATCCCATCATTAGCCAAAAGTCTGGCATCCGTATTGATCTTGATCCAACCTTCCGCGGGTCTCTCCCACTGTTCCGCCTGCCCGTCGCCCGATAACGTTTCCTCGGGGCCTTGGTTCTTCCTGTAGTCATCGAGAATTGAAAGTGCACGCTGCAAAATCTCGTCCTCGATCAGGCCATTTGGAACCGTTGAAGAGCAGTGCATTTCGTTCCTTCCATATCGCCCATAGTACCATAGCCCACGATTCCGCAACGTCCGAGTTCTCATGCTTCATCACCTCCGCCACCCATTTCATGCAGTCAGACGATCCATGCACAGTAAATGCGCTTTCCCACGGTGATCCTCTCTATATCCGGCTGCTCCAGCTAGACTCGTGGAACAGGTGGTGTTGGGTTTCCTTTTGGTCGCAGAACGAACATTCATCACTCCGTTGTGGGTTCTTCGTTACCACTTCCACTCCTGTTGGGAGAATTTCCCTGGAGAACTTCCACAAAAAATGACGAACTTTGGGAGGAACTCTCATGGTCCAAATAACCTTCCAGAATTTCTCATCACCCCGCGGTACAATCACTCCTCTTGTGCACTGAGCAGGCTTCTCCACATGTAGCTTGGTTTGCTTCCCAGCCGAGCATCCAATATAGAGAAGTTCTTATGATACTTGGCGGCTATGATCCTGGCAATGAGGGACGTCGGTCGTTGGTGTAGGGACCATAGTTGTTTCGCGAGTAGGGCTCTGTTAAAGCCTCTAAGGTCGCAAAAACCCATCCCACCATCTTCTTTCATAGTAACTAGCTCCTCACGGTGAATCCAGTGCGATCGCCTCTCCGCATTCTTCTTTCCCCACCAAAAGCTAGTGATCATACTATGGATCTCGTCTATAATTCCATTAGGTATCTTGAACACCGTCATAGGCGTAGTTTAGCTGGGCTTGGGCAACTGACTTGATGAGAATTTTCCGAGTTGCTACTGACAAAGTTTTTTCCTTCCATCCTTTCAGCTTCTGTCTACCCGTTCTTTCAATCCCGCGAAGAGGTTTTTGGCCCGTCCACTGGCCGCCTCTGTAGGGTTCCGCTGGTGATGAGCTTGCTATGAGGCTTTACATTCACCGAGAAAGAGACTTCCGACTTCTCGAAATTGACCATCTGTCTAGACTCGAGATCATAAGCATGAAGTATATTTTTTAGCACCAGACATTCCTCCTGAGTAGCCCTGGCAAAAAAGATACTATCGCTAGCGAAAAAAAGATGGGTAATCCCCGGGGCTCCCTGATTCACCTGTAGCCCATGTAGCCGTTTTTCCTCCACCACCTTGGCTGTATAGGTTGACAATCCCTCCGCACAAAGCAGGAAGAGATAAGGTGATAACGGATCGCCCTGCCGTATCCCTCTGCTCGGAGTGAAAGTTTGGGATCGATGACCATTCACTAGAACAGAGTACAACACGGTAGTAACGCCCATCATAACGAGCTGTATCCAACGGTCGGCGAAACCCATTCTTCTCATAACGCCTTCAAGAAAGTGCCACTCCACCCTGTCATACGCTTTCGCCATGTCAATTTTAGCGGCAAAGTAGCCATGTTTCCATCTTTTGCTCCCTTTCATAGTGTGGAAACACTCAAACGCTGCCATGATATTGTCTGTGATGAAACACCCAGGGATAAAAGCACTCTGAGCTGGAGATATGATCTTATCCAACAACGGCTTAAGACGGTTGGCTAAAACCTTCGACACAATTTTGTAAAGAACATTAAAAAGACTAATCGGTCGAAAGTCTTTCGGAGAAGCTGGCTATTTGGTCTTGGGGTTTTAATCGTTCATTTTTTCAGTTCTCTCAAAGTTTCAGGAATTGTCTTTTATAATTGTAACATTTAGTTTTGATGAGTTAATGTGGTTTTAAGCGCTTCCATTCGCGTGACCAATTAAGATGTTGAATCATCATCTCCTTCAATGTCAATCGAACTTACAATAATATCAACCACAATTTCTTCTAAATTTTGTGCCTCTATGCATTCATCATAAATTTTGAAACCAAACCATGAAACAATTATCAACCATTACAAAAATTAATGATTTAATTGGTCATTTGAGGAATAAATATAGTTGTTGCGATAGTCGGGCCGAAGCTATCTTTAAATAAGTCATGCAACTGATGGCAATGCATCAAGGGTTTCATGTGCGATTTGTAGGACGGAGTAGCAATAGGGTTGCCCATTTGCTGGCTCTTAAAGCCCTTTCCTTGTATCCGATTACGTGTCGCTTTTTTGATTTTATGGCCTGGTTGTGTGCCAGGATGTACTGATTTTTTTATCAATCAATATAATGATTATCTTTTGTAAAAAAAAAGCAATAAATATAGTTTCTATCTAATTGCAAAAAATAAATGGCATATACCATAAGATTAATGATTTAATTCGTCCCTTATAGCGACTACAACAATGAGAGAGATTGTCGATAGGAAACTAATCAAGGCTTTTGTTCTATCAGTCTCAAAAGGGGTTAAAGACATATTTGGTCACTGAGATTACTAAATTAGGACATGTTTAGTCACTGTAAAAATTTAATATCAAATTTGGTCACTAAAATTACTACAACTGGACACATTTAGTCACTCGCCGTTAGTTGCCGTCCAACTCCGTTAAAAAACTTCGTTATGTGCTGACGTGGCTAACGTGAGCGCCTAGTCAGCGCCGTTTTGGGCCGGAAATGGACAACGGAGTTGGACGGCAACTAACGGCAAGTGACTAAGCGTGTCCTGTTTTAATAATTTGAGTGACCAAATTTGATATTAAATTTTTACAGTGACTAAACATGTCCTAATTTAGTAATCTCAGTGACCAAATATGTCTTTAACCCGTCTCAAAGGTAAAATAAGTATAGGAAGTTAATTACTTATTAGGCAACAATTAAACCTGTCGTAGAACAAACAAGCTTTTACAAGCATGGTGTGGGATAAAGGAACTCTGTGTCGATGATGAGCAACCCTTGGCCGTAGCTATGACGTTTCTCGGTACTTGCTCAAGTACTTCACCTTGCGAGGAGAGCAACAAAATGATCTGATCCATGACAGAAGTGTCGAATGGCAACACGATTGGTTTGTCGCTTGAGAACCCAAACTCTTCCTCTGACATCCTCAGTACCTCCACGACCACGTAATTCGTCAGATACTTTAGTGGTATCACATAGCGACTTTTGTCCATGGTGTAAACCACGAAATAACCCCTTCTATCGCAAGGTGACAATGATGCTCTTCTCACTACATCAATCTTCCTCCATTTTCTCACCATCAAGGCTACTAGGGTTTTGGGAAGAACCATGATGATGACGAATCTGAGCTGTTTTGAAATCTTATGCTGGTTAAGGAATACAAGGGAAATGATGAGAACTTGAGAAGTGTTAATTTCCAAGGCTAGCTTTTCGTTTTCGAGATGCTCAGTAGTGGGAATCATAGGTAGCTTTTATAGATAGTAAAGAGGACACACCAGCTTGCTTACTTCCAAAACTGAACCTTCAATGGAAAGTTAGGGATAATCGGAGTTTATTGGATTGGTAGATATTTACTTGGAACTAAGTGTTAGCTAATTAGTTTCTTTTGTTGTATGTATATAGTAAAGATGTTGTTAGAAATTAGAATATGTACATGCTTTTAACTGTCTAGTGTGTCTAACTGTTAAGAAAAGGAGTTTATCCGTTAGTTACAAGAAAACAAGTACAAGTTTTTGTTGACGAATGAAAACAAATCTGCCTTGGAACAACTAGGCTGCACGAGGACATCGTGATGGTTCCATCTACAGAGGTGAATTAGAGAGGATCCCTAGTTCTACTCAATATGGATATTATTTGGAAGGGGAAATACGAATTATGATTCCAATGCTACACATAGTTTCTTTCAACAACTATTCCCAATTTCCTTTTGGTGGTGAGTACTGCTTACTTTCAACTTTCAAGTGGAAGAAAGCTTCAATTTTGGGTCATTTGGGCGAGGGATTGGATTGAGAAATTTTGACACAATTCGTCAATCTGTCTTATTTGAACACAATAATTCTTTTTGAAAGATGAAGAATTTTGAAATTATAAATTTCAAGAACTCTCAATTGCGGATTTTTAAAATAGTTGATGCCCATCACTTATTTCAAAATCTCTCACTCTTTACTCTTTTCTTCCAAATTTTTTTTTAAATTTTTGTAAAATCCAACTTTACCCTCGCCCACCATTATTTCTCCATCTATCATTGTCGTTGTCTCTCTCTTAATCTATTGACTAATCGGCGTTGAATGACCTAATCGTAGAGACAATAGCTTAGTTTGGCCCTGCTGTAACTTTTGCAGAAGCAGCTTCTTGCTGGAGCTTTTAGATAAGTACTTAAAAAAAAAAGCAGTTGAGTGTTTGGCTCTAAAACTATTAGAAGTGCTTTTTAATATAAGAGGTTGTGTAAAATAAATATAAAGGACTTATAATATAAAATATGAATAAAAATTCTAAACAATAAAAAGTAGTCAAAATGGATCTTGTTAGATTTCTTTTATATTAAATAATATGATTTTATAATTTATTTTATTTTTAGAATGATATAAATGAAGGAAAATTATATTTTGTAGAAATAAAATTAAAATATGGTAAGGATAATCTTGTATTTTCAAAGCAGCTTTTCGCAGAAGCTCCAAATCGGAGCTTCTGCTTTTATGTTATACAAAAGCGCATTTCGCCTTTTCAAAAGCCGAGCTTTTACAGGTGTTTGGCCTTGCTTCAACTTTTGAACCCAAAAAGCACTTCTAAAAGCCGGGCCAAACATAGGGAATATCCTTTCTGCCAAGAAGGATATCTTAAGAAGAAGCATGTACGTTCCCGTTCGGCGAACTTATGCAACCCGCCATGTGCATATTTGGCGTGGACTGAACACCTGAACAAACATAGATGACGATTAGATGTCGAGGTGCCAAAGGGATGAGTTACCGTCACTTCCCATAAGAGGGATGTGAGATTCACATCCAAGGGCAATTTGGGTATGAAAAAAAAGAATTTATTATTTATTTATTCTTGTATTAATTACAGATTGGGAACTAAAAACCCTACAATTAATACGCTTATATATATATCTCTCTCTCTCTCTTTCTTTTCCAGCAACCTCTTCACCCCGACCGCCAAACTTTCTCCGGCCGACGACTTTTTCCGGTGAAATCCTCCAATCAGACTCGCTCCGGCCATCTGCAAAAAAAAACCACTACTTCAATGTGCTAGTGGTACTGATTTTCATCTAGTGGTACGCTACCAGTGGTAGTGGTACGTACTAGTGGTAGTGGTATGCTACAAATACCACTGGTACCGCTACGAGTGAGTAGTGGTACACTACGAGTGAGTAGTGGTACGCTACCACTACCACTGGTAGCTTACCACTAGACAGAAATCAGTACCACTACTCATTGGTACCGCTACCACTAAGTACTAGTACGCTACCACTACCATTGGTAGCGTACCACTAGACAGAAATCAGTACCACTAGAGAATAACATAAAAAAAACAAGATCTGGAATCTGGAAAATCCCAGATCTGGAAAAAAAAATTAAGGAATGAGAAAAGGAGAAGAAAGGGGAGAGGTCGTTACCTCGCGGCGGCGGCAGAGGAGGACGGCGGGAGAGAGATGGCGGTGACAGGTGTTGGAGGGAGGCGAGAGGGCTGCGACGGGGAGAGCGTTATAGCGCGGAGGATGCAACGGCTGCGGCAGGAGGGAGACGGTGGCAGCGAGAGGGAGAGATGACGGCGGTGGCGACGGGAGGGGGTGGCGGCGGCGGCAACGACGACGGGAGGGAGAGACAGAGAGCAGTTAGGGTTCTCCGGAGAGGGAAGAGAGAGAGGAGAGAGGAAGAGTTTTTTTTTTAGGAAATCAGATTATATAGAAAATGAGAAAGGATTCTGTGTGGTAAGTTTTTCTCTTCCAAAAATACCCTTCATTTAATCTAAACCGTTAATTTAAAAAACCAAGAGAGAGAGTGGATCTAATGGCTGTGAAGGAGGAAGCGAAAATCACAACCCCTATGGGGGTTGTGACGCTATCTAAGCCCGGTGCCAAACAAGACCACTGATAGTGTCTTCCCAATAGTTTTAGTTGGATGACGATTTAACAAATAAACAGTCGTTGACACGCATTCTCTCAAAAACTGTATAGATAATCCTGTATGAAAACGGAGAGCACGTTTCGTGTCAAGGATGTGTATGTGTTTCCTCTCAACGACTCTGTTCTACTGCGGAGTGTCAGTGCAACTAGTACAAAAATGAATACCATGTCGAACATAATAGTCGAGATTCGAGAAGAACATTAGTATGAAGTGTTATTCCATTATCAGTCTAAATACTCTTGACTTGTCGATTGAACTCCATTGCAACCATTTCACAAAATATCATCAAGTATCGTCCCACATCATACTAGAAACGAAGGAGATAAACCCAAACACTATGACTATAATCATCGACTATGATGAGAAAATAACGAGCCCCGCTTGAGAGAATTGATCATCAAGTATATCGTCCCACTCCATACTGGCAACCATTTCTTCCTCATCACTCTTGACATGACTTCAAGATGTTAATGAGTTGAATTGATCGACTCCAATACCATGAAAACAATCAAATATAACACAAAATTGAGAATTAATGTAAAGATTTTAACGTGGTTCAGCCTTACAGTTACCGACTATGTGGAAGAAGCTAGCCACAGAGACTGTTGTAAAACCAACCACCGCCAAGTATGAATCTCTCTAGAAAAGTTTCCTCTCTTTTGTCAAACCTTCAAACTTTAGATCTGGATACCCAGATGCGTCCTTCTATGAAGGGGCTTTTTCATCCTCCTTAGATCAACTAATGGAGAAGAGGACATTAGTCTTAATGGTGGAATCAACCATAAAAAATCCCATCAAGAGTAAATATGCTAGGCCTAGAAGATCCTATGGTAGAGGTTCAACAGATGAGGAGTGTTTTTCAGCTGCATTAAATCCCCACAGCTACCCAGAATCTTTCCTCTGCCCTATGCATTCAAGGCTAAATACGTTAAACGAACGGAAGATCCTCACCACGTCAATCAATGGAGCAAAGATTAGAAAGTCCAGTCTGTTTAGACCCCCAAAGCGGAAGAAGGAAGCTGCCCTGCTCAAGATATATCTCGAGTCTCAAAAGATTGCAGATCTGATAGCAGAGAAGGAGCAAAAGACCCAGTGAAACATCGATATAGCTTCACAACCACCATCGATGGAACATTAATGCCCAGCTTACATTGATCTCAAAGTCTCTATTTATTGGGTGTTCAAACGCAGATCCAAGCCACCCAACAACTTCCCCTGCCCCTGATTCAGCAAACCCTACCCCAAACACAAGCAAAAACCAACCTTGCTGGTATGGCGAACATGGGTGGACAGAATAGAGCTGATGAATGGGAAGATCATGAGGTTGTTTATCCTAATGAAATCCCCCAGAATCAAGAGACCCTGCGGCTGCGCCTTGTCTGGAAGGTTCTATCAGAGCGTGATATCTCCAAAAGAGTAATGGTGGGCATGACCAATGGAGCTTGGTCATACTTTTGTAAACCAATTGTCCACGAGGTGTCCAAGATGAAGAATGTTTTCGTCTTCAAGTTCAACAACAAGGAGAAACTCACGAAGGCTTAGGAAGGCAGACCGTGGCCAATCTCAGGGAATCTCCTCCACCTGAAATAGTGGGAGGACTCTATCGGACCCCAAGATCTCAACTTTAATTTGAAAGACTTTTGGGTTCAGATCCATGGCATCCTTGACCATAAGAGGACAACTGCAAATGTGGAGTCAGCTGCTACCATGTTCCCGAAGATAGATGGTATCGATATGAGAGGGCTTAATCTGAAGAAGTTCATGGAGTTCATTAGGGTCTTCATTCAAGTTGATCTCACTCATCCCCTGCCTCCAGGCTCCTACTGTTCCACTAATGGGGTACAAAACTGGCTTGGTTTCAGATATGAGAAATTGTATGTTTTGTGCTAGTATTGTGGGAGACAGGGTCATTGCAAGGAAGAGTGTCAATGGAGGAAAGTTGATGAAGAGGAAAGAATCCAAGGTCGCCTGAAGGAAGATACACCCGATGGATGAAAGATGGAACTAATGCTCCGCGACCACCACCATCGCTGAGGAGTCGAATAATCCACCAATCTCCGGGCGATGCGAATTCCAGCATGAAGCAA